ACAAATAGAATTTTCAGAAAACAAATAAACATTTGAAACACTTTTACAAGTCCAAAAACAAATGATCGTTTGAGGAATTCAACCGGAAAATGTGGGTACTAACTCCGAGGTTGAACCAGTCTTGTGTGAAATTCTGTTTCTCTTCCCCCGTGTGTCGGGAGCGCGCATTGCAGCCAGAGAGGCGAATCTGACCATTTTCACGGCGCTCCTGATCATTTCTCGGTGAAAACAGCTCATATAATCATGTCAACATTGAAACATTCAGTTTAACCGGTTGCTCTTTTTACAAATTTGTTAAATAAATACATTAACGAAGTCTTCTTACACTGTTTTGTGTTGTTTTTTTTTTTTTACCGCCAAGAGAATCTGTATTTCTCTAGCTTTTGTCCCTTCAATCTGACAGAAATAAACGTCAGTCAGATTTCCAACACATAGTGTATTTTTAATTTTTTTATGCTGATATAAGAGGACGGAAACTGGCTGATAGCAGGGAACACAAATTAAGACGTCCTGCAAAGATGAGAGGGTAGAATTTCTGGTTAATCCCCTTCTAATGTAAAATATGACAGATTACTGGATTAAGGACATTTCTAGTATAACATATCACACATATCAATTTTAGAGAAACTGGAAACAGTTGCTCTTTATTTCCCAAAGATGTGGGAGGAGGAGAGGAGAGAATGGATGTTTCAGCTGAATGAAATAATCTGCTCCCCTCTATAACATGGGAAGAAATTAATGTACCTGCAAGTCTTTAACTGTACTTCTTCCTTTCTTCATCAACATCAAAACCTGTAGATTTGGTCATATTTACTCTTTATTTGCAAAAATTAAAGGAGGGGAACCATATATTTCAGCTGCCTTGAAATTGGTCAGATTTTTTAGATTTTATAATGTTGGTTTGCACCTCCTGGCCACCGTAATTATATCCATATATAGAACAACACCGAAATATCAACTTTAAACGCTATGTTTTTTTTTTTTACATTTAGTTTTGTTCGTTTTTTTAACAAGTTATTGTTTTTTATCGTTTATTTCCTAGTTTATTTTTTAAATTTTTTATTGTTATATCTGTTTATGTGGAAAAAATTTATTCAGAATATTATGATTTATGATAAAAAGATATAAATACCAAAACAAAATGATAAAGTAACAAAATCATCCTAGTTAAAAATTAAATGTTGTAGTTTGATTGACAAAAGTTAGAAAAACATCATAAAATAGATGCAAAAATCTGAAATATATTTCAGATATATTTCAAAAGAATAAATATTAGATGGATTAAGTTTGTTTATTCTATTTTTTTCTAAGAAATGTATTGTTCAATGATATATAACTAGGTTAATTACAAACTTTTATATTGATTACTATATAGAATATCTTAGTTAATGAGTTGTTAATTGGTGAATAAAATATTTAATGCTATGTTTTTATTTGAAAATATATTATTTAAAGTTCATTCACCTTATTTTTTCTTGATTTTGCTTCACAAACATCAATTTAAAAAGTATTTTAAACTTATAAGTTAAGAGAAGTTAAGGGAAATTTACATTTGAAAAATATATATACGTACTTGAAAGACCAGAAACATGGATATTAGTTTTAAATAAAAGTTATGGTGTGAAAAAATGTATGACTGTAACTTAAATAGATTTTAATAAAATATTTCTGGTTCTAGGAGCGTCTGAGGAAGTCGGAGGCTCTGAAGGATGAGCTTTCCAAATTCCTGCAGGAGCACGGGAACCTGGGTACTTGGCTGGAACAAAGTGAGCAGGAGATGCGTTCCCTGGGGGAAGGAGAAACCGACGCACAGGGCCTGAAGGACAGGCTGGAGGAGCACAGAAAGGTGCAGCAAAGATTATAATAATCAGAGATGGCAAAAGTACTCACTTTCCGTACCTGAGTAAAAATACAGATACTTGTGTTAAAAAATACTCTGGTAAAAGTGGAAGTACTGATTAAACTTCTTTACTCAAGTAAAAGTAACAAAGTACAGGCTTGTAAATTTACTTAAAGTATAAAAGTAAAAGTAGAAACCACTTTTTTCATGCCGTTGCCTACATTTTAAATGGATGTCTGCCAATAGGACTAGATCTCCGTTGTGTTCATTTTCAATCATCTCGTCGTCCATGCTACTATGCTAACGCCACCGCCACCAAGCTGCAATGATTTGCCGCCAATGAATACCGCCGAATCTGTCGATTCATCTTGTAGTGGTGCGTCAAATGCAACGTAGATTCCCATCCAATTAGATTGAATTTGGTATTGATGACGTGAAAAATAATAACGGTAACTCCATTGAAATGATTCAAAACTAAAGTAACGAAACAATTTTTTTAAATGTAAGGAGTAGAAAGTACAGATATTTGTGTAAAAATGTAAGGAGTAGAAGTAAAAAGTCACCATAAAAATAATTAGTAAAGAAAGTAGAAATATCAGAAAAATCTACTTGAGTACAGTAACGAAGTATTTGTACTTCATTACTTCCCATCTCTGATAATAATACTAAACCAAAATCTTCTTTTTCCACACTTTAAGCTGCTCAGAGAGAAAGACTTTGAAACTCTTTGAATAGAAAAGGTTTCTGTTGCTTTAAAGGAACGAAAGGAGCTGATAAATATGCTGTTATTAACGTCACAGAGCTCCATTCTGGGAGGATTTCCTTCTTTAATCATCCATGTAGAAAGAATTAGAATCTATTAACCCTCTCTAGACTATCAAGCTTTTCCATCTAAGCTTCCCTGAGAAACTCCAGCCTAGAAGTTCTGGTTAAAAGGTCTCCAGATGTAAATGTTTGTTTTCCCACAGAGATTCCTGGGCCTTCTGCTCATAAAGATGTTTTCCCGTTAAATTCAACAACAAACACGTCGATTGATCCGAATGTGTTCCTTTCCAGCTCGGCGAGGACGTGATCTGCCACAAGGCCGACCTTCGCTTTGTTTCCATCTCCGGTCAGAAGGTTCTGGACTCGGTTCAGGGAGCTTTGGAGCAAGCCAAAGGTTCTGATCCGTCTCTGGAAGGCATCAAACAGCTGGTGTCTGACAAGCTGCAGGACGCCAACCACAGATACACCACCCTGCACACCAAGGTGAGGAGAAGCGCTGAGATCCTCCTCTTCGCTTTGAGGCGGTTTTCTGATGTTTGATGTTTGTTGCTCAGTCGTCAGAGCTGGGCGGCCGTTTGTCCGGCCTGTTGGAGCGGTACCAGCAGTACCAGGATGAAGTGGTCTCCCTTCATTCCTGGCTCAGCACTCATGAACAAAACCAAAGCGTCACCAAGTCCAGCAGTGACACCGACCCGCAGAACCTCCAGGACGCGCTGCGACAAGTTCAGGTGGTGAATGCGCTCCTTCACAGAAATAAAGAGCCGTTTGTCGGACGGTGATGGATGATTGGATGTTCTGTGTCTGCAGCTGCTGCAGGACGAGCTGGCCGAGCGCTCGGTGCAGCTGGAGAAGGTGAAGAGAGCAGGAAGAGATCTGGTCAGCACCGAGGAATCTCCGTCTCTGAAAGCCGTGGACATCCTCTGCGCCGCAGGTGGCTTCATCTCTCCGACGGTGACTCTTCTCACAGCTTTCAGATTTACTGATGCACTGTCTCTGCTGCTCTCCCACATCAGACGGGTTGGAGAAAAGATTCGGCAGCCTTTCTGCGTCCGTCTCTGAGCGAGCCGAACATCTGCAGACGGCTGTGGCTCAGTCTGTGAGCGTCCAGGAGGGCCTGAAGGGTCTGCTCAGCTGGCTGGACAAGCTGGTTCTGAACCCCAGACCAGTGAAACCCACAGCGCTGGCTGTGCAGGATGCTCTGACCCAGAACCAGGTAGGGATAATCAAAGCTACTTTAATAATTTTTTCTTACTGACTGCTTTGTTGAATTTTTTTTTCCTTTTTCCAGAAACTTCGGCAGGAGCTGCTCTCCAGGCAGGGCAGCGTGGAAGCAACCCGCGACTCCCTCTCCAAGCTCCTGCAGAGTTCTGATGCGGCTGCAGCACCGGGCCTCCACGGCAGCCTGGACGAACTCACCCAGCGATACACCGCAGCCCAGACCAGCCAGGCGGAGCGGGAAGCAGAGCTCAAAGGGCTGCTGCCCAGACTGGAGAGCTACGAGCGGCTGGGGACCGACCTCCAGGCGTTTACCCAGAGCAGACTGAAGGCCCTGAGCCCGGTGGGCCAGCCGGACCGCAGCATGGGCGACTACAGACAGACCATCGAGGTCAGCAGAGCGCACGCACGACATCCACACAATAGAAGCTTCTACATTGTTCTTAATCTTCCTCCTTTGCACGCTTCCAGGAGGTAAAATCTGAGCTGGAGCAGGAGACGGGCCAGCTGAAATCCTTCTGCAACCTCGGCACCGAGCTCAGCCAATCCAGAACCCTCAGTGATACTCAGAGTCTTCTGGATAACGTCAAAGGTGTGACTGAAGGGTTCACAAAGCTGGAAGAAAACGTCAATGAAAGGTAAGAAGGGAAAAAAGTTTGCTTATTACACAAGGGGGCGCTAGGTAGCCATCAAACTGTCATCTTAAAAACCCTTTAAAGTAGAAGTCAGTTCAGCAAGGAATGATCAATGGATCATTATCTATTCCTAAAACTAATACTTTCATAGATATTTAAAGCATTTAGCGATCACTGAGTCTGGGAGCGGCCATTTTTTGCCCAAATATAGTAACCCCCCCGGCAGTGACGTCACGCTGCGGTAAGCCTAGCGCCATTCTCCCCGCTTTACAAGCTAAATCAATGGGAACTATTAGACACATCTGCAATCAACAACAATTATTGAAGATTTCCAGAGGACTTCACCATTGAAATTCACCAGAGCTATAGTGAAACTGACAATGCCCACGTGCATGGCAGCTGGATGCTGGAATACATCGGGTAAAAGTAAAAAAAAAAGTTATTCCACCTTTCTGGTTCCTGATCCTCCACGGACGGGTTGGTCGTTGGATCGCCAACTTGAAGAGGGAGGATTTGCCATCGAACTTCTGGCCAGAGAAAAAACCCGTAATATGTAGCCAACATTTGGAAGAAGAATGTTTTCAAGATGACTTGGATAATAGCGCGTTGTGACAAACACCAGATACAGCACTGGGACTTGATCAACAGCCGATACCGCACCGTGACGTCACTAACCAGTAGGTGGCAGTAGAGTTCTTTGACAAACATGGATGCCTCCAGTAAAGAACATTCACATGAAAATTACTCTGAATTAAAAACACTTTATTATTGAACAGTATGTAATAATTTCATATTTAAAGTACTTTTAGTAGTTTGAATTCTGAATATGAGCGGACTTCTCCTTTAAAGGCACACAGCAGGTGTCGGATGTTTTTAAGAAAAAAAAAAACTGAATCTGGAGGACTGGGACTGAAAATCAGCCCGACATTTCTACAATCTGCTCTCTACCTCTGCAGCCTTCATCAAACAGCGGTTGCCATGCCAACCCTGTTTGACGGCATCTCAAGGAGGCATTTATAAATACCAGCGTTCTCCTTCAGATGTATCGGATTAGATTTCTGTGTTCGGAGGCCATCATGTGAACTCAGTCGGCAGCCGACGGCTGAAGAAGGACCGGAGAAACATTTCTGTGTGTCATCAGGAGGCATGGATGCCGTTACACAGTTTTCCTTCACTGTGTGATTCTCAGAGCTAATATAAGCAGCGTGAACACGGCTCATTGTGCGTCCTGTAAACGGCCCTCTCGGATAACTCGCTGCCTCGGATCCCAGAGGAGAGAAAATAGCAGCTCGATAATGATAGCTCTCCGCTCCAGACGGCTTCTCAGGGCTGTTTTGTCCACAAACACTCAGGACGAGTCTGGCTCATACTTTCACACACATTACCAACAAAGAGGCAGAGGTCAGGGCTGTGTTAGCGCCGCCTCAGGGCCTCAATGCTTCATACGGAGAAACACTGAATTATTTCTTATGCGACAAGAAACTCTTTCGCCAGACGGAAAAAAGATGTCCTCAAAAACCCTTTCTGGGTTCTGTTTGCTGTTAGTTTGGCAAAACTATAAAATAGAAATAAAACAACTAAGAATAAACTGAACTTCGCCAATAATCAAAAACAGATATTTTTTTCAGTTTTAAGAGATTAAAACTACATTTAAAGTACAAAAAAAACATTTTTGTCCAACAGAAAAATTTATTTATATGAGCAACAAAGAAAAGACCATCATAAAAAAAGCATATACATATTAATATTATTAAAGATACTCAAGGATGAAAAGGATTGATTAAAAAATTTACAAAATCTTTCTTAGAATTTTGTTTTTTTTTTTGCTAGCAACAAAAAATGTTTCACTAGTTATTTAGTTTTTTTCAGATTGAGTTTTGCTAATTGCATTTTGTGCACATTGACCAATAAAGTTGTTTTGCTAACGTCCAGCAGACCAATAGAAATGCATCTT